ATTTTTCCTTATGCAAACTGCCAATTCTGGTCCTTTGTTGTCTTTTCTCTTGGGACTCTTTTATTAAACTTGTAAAACATTATACTATAGACTCCAACATTTTTATCATTAGTAACAATTGTTTTTCTTAAAGAAAGAGTCTGTATAGTATGGTGATTACAACAGTAATCCCAGGACTTGTGAAGCTGAGGCAGGGGCATTGTCATGAGTTAGGAGCCAGCCTTAGCTATTCAGTTTATCATTTCTTTTCAGGGAGTATTTGGTTAGACTGATTCTGTTAATTACTGAATGGTTGGTGTTGATGGTGGGCATCGTGAAGGATGGTAATATTTTACAATAATTATGGTATAAGATCCATGTCACACATACATGGACAAGACATGTCCAGAAGCAAACGGGAAGATCACAGTCACACGCTCAGCTGGAATCAGAGGCCACATGAGTCTGCTGGCTTCTGCCTGCACACACACACACACACACACACACAGAGAGAGAGAGAGAGAGAGGGAGGGAGAGACAAACAATCACACACAGAGAGAGACACAAGCAATCACACACACACACAATCACACACAATCACACACACAGAATCACACAATCACACACACACACAGAGACAAACAATCACACACACACAATCACACAGACAATCACACACACAATCACACACACACATCAACCCTATTTAGAGAATAAAAAAGTAAAGCCAGTCCTTCCCCAAAGGAAACTTAATCAAAAACCCAGCCCCTTCCTCTTCAAACAACATCCACAAATGTCAGCTAACAGACACAAAACAAGAGCCAGCTACCAAAAGATTAAAAACTCACTCAAGTGGGCAGGAGGGTTTCCATGTGCAATCAAAGAGCTGCTTCTGTATAAAAATGTCTGGTCTACAGAAACAAGCTCAAGAAGTCAGTTATCTTGCAGAAAAACACAACTTTGAGCTGAGGAGAAAACAAACATAGGGAACTCCCAGGTTTACACAACCTTCTATCCCCCTTTCTTCTGGAAGGTTCAAAAACCTCATATCACACGGAGAGAGAGAGAGAGAGAGAGAGAGAGAGAGAGAGAGAGAGAGAGAGAGAGAGAGAGAGAGAGACAGACAGACAGACAGAGACAGAGATAGAGACATAGAGAGGGACAGAGAGAGAGAGACAGAGAGAGGGACAGAGAGAGACAGAGACACAGAGAGTCGTCAGACAAAGGACTAAGACAGTTGTATGCATTAGAAGTAGCAAGCGTGTTGCTCAGGACATGGGCTTCATGGTTTGGACACGAGGTAACCTGTGTTAGTCAGGACCCCTCTAAGAAACATAGTGAATAAGAGGGGTAGACCTTGTTAGACTCAAGATCAGAGGCGACAACTCCCACAGTGTGCAGGCTGGAGAACTGCAGAAGCCAACCGCTGCTCAGTTGTTGGGGCAGCTAGAAGCCCCAGAACTTGAGGGACCAGTAAGGCAGGTTGAAGGGCTAGAAGGTTTAATGCTGGTAGAAGTCGCCACTGAAAGATGGATCCCCTGGAATCTGATGTCAATGATCAACGCCAGCTGCAGGAAAAGTACTTCTCAGGAAGAGTCACACCTCCCTGTGACAGTTAGCTGTAATTACCAAATTAACACAATCTTGAATCTCATGGGGAGAGAATCTCAGTGGTTGTCTAGATCCAGTCCGTCTGTTTGCAGGTCCGTGGGAAGTTGTCTTGTCTGAGCTAGTGGAGGTGAGTAGACCCAGCCCACCATGGGCAACACCATCCCCTACGTAGGGGATCCTGCCCTGTGTAAGGGCGAAGGGAGTGAGCCCAGTACAGCCATGCACGCATTCATTCTCTCTTTACTCTTGCCTGTGGATACGACTAGCCCCTTGGAATTTAAGACACTTTAGCTCTCCTGTAGTCTTGGACCCCAATCTGGAATTGCGAGCTAACGTGGACACTCTCTGTCTCCCCTGGGTTGTTTTTGTCAGGATTTTTATCACAGCAGCAGAAAACAACACCAAGACACCACCGGTGTGCAAGTCTCTTCCTGCTTCTTCCTCGTTTTTATTCCACTTAGACCCTCAGTCTATGAACAGAGACGCCCGCGCTCAAGGTGAGTCCCCCTGACTCGGTTCACTGCTCTGTGCCAATCTTCAAATAAATAAATAAATAAATAAAAACCTATTATACAAACCCAGACCTGTGACAAAATTGTAGGCGCCTCTCCATCCGCTGAGGTTGGCAAGGAAGGTCAACCGGGTCACAAGCGAAACCCTGATGTGATCAGGAGACGCTGGGTGCACTGAGACTCATGACCAGATGGAGGAGGTCATGGGAGAGAGCCAGGCGAGATCAAGGCAGCCCCCAAGTCTCCTGCCATGCTTCCTAATCTGTTTCTAATCCATCGCTACACTTTCTTTAAGGACAGTAACGATTTTTTTTTTTTACTTATTGAATTCATCTTTGTGTTTTTAACATTTCTGCTTCGTTGCCACTATAATTGAGGAGTGTCCCAGAGTTTAGAATAAAAAGAAATTATGTACGCATGCGTTTGTGTGTGGGTATGTGCACCTGTACGCAGGAGCCTGTGGAGGCCAGAGGAGGGTACAGGGTCTCCTAGCACAGACATGTCAGGAGGTTGTAAGCTGTCAAGCGTGAGCATGGGCAACTGAACTCGGGGTCCTCTTCAAGAGTGGTATTCGCTCTTAACTGCTGAGCCATCTGTTTTGCCACTCAGAACCCATTTTGATCACTGTCTTCTTATTACACATTAGAAATTTTATTTTAGATACCCACGTTTCCATTTTCTGGCATTAGCTTTAAATCTTTGCCTGTGGTCATTTAATTAAAAAAAAAAAAAAAAAAGCCCACGTGTATTTATTTATTTGGAAGGTGAGCCCTCTCCTCAGCACCCCCTTCTCGAATGCCTACGTAAAAGAAGGAGAACTTTTACTGTATCCCACATAATAATGAATTCTAGCGTAATGGGGTAGGAAAAAAAGGAAGTTGGAGGAGACAGAAAAATGGGGCCATGGGCATTTTCAGTCTCAACAGGATCACAAGACACCCGGTAAACAGCAGCCAATTCAATGAATTACCACATTCAGTGGTCACAACTCGGGGCCAGCCTGGTCAAAATGGAAACTCGCCAAGTGCGTCCTGTGCTGAGCAGAGAACCAAAGTCCAGTGCTGTTTGCTCTCAGAGGCATTCTTATCCGAGAGCTAGTGTCTGGAAATCCCTAACCCTCCTGCTGGCCACGGCATCACCCTCCTCCGGTTACCATGAAAACGTGTCGTCACAACCCCAGACATTCCAACTCCAGCTTTGGGGTCCTTTATTCCCAACACAGCTTGGATAAACAGCAAAGAGGCTGGAGGTGTAGCTCAGAGTGTAGAGTGCTAGCTTAGCCTGTATGAAGCTCTGTGTTTAGTCTCCAGCACAAACCACATGCCATGCTGGTGCAAGCTCATGGGACATTTGAAGATACCCTGTGAGGCTGTGTCAAAAAAAAAAAAAAAAAAAAAAAAAAAAAGTGAAGTTTCTCTGAAGTGTGGATGCCCAGGAAGAAGGCAGCGGGTATCAGATTGCCTTAACTGGGACAAGGAGTTGTATTCTCTGCATCATGAAAGAAAAACCAGGTTGTATGGCACCCATGGACTAGATAGATGCTCTATGATGGTCAGTGTTGATGGTCCACTTGACAGACTTTGGTACTCCTGCGAGGGATTGTCTAGACTAAGGCTAGCCTCTGAGAGTGTCTGTGAGAATTTATCTTTTTTAAAAAATATATTTTAAGGAATTTCATACTTGCACACAACATATTTTTATTATAACTATCCACCCTCCTTCCCCAGCTCTTCCTAGGCTCACCATTACCCCCTCCCAACTTCATGTCCTTTGGGAAACTGTGTTTATTATGTTAGTTAATGTGAGAAAAATCTGTCTCAGCTGGGAGAGGTGGACTCATCCTCTAGGCGGAACAGAGGAGCCGGGCTGGCTATGTAAAACAGAGAACAAGACTCAAGTAAGGACATACTGCTTTCTCTTCCTGGTTGTGAGGTAATGTGGTCGGCTGCTGCAAGTTCCTGTTGCCTTGGCTCTCCTGACATGATGGGCTGGGAGCTAACACACATCCTTTCTGTCTTAAGTTGTTTTTGTCGGGGTGTTTTGTCACAGCAGCAAGAAAGTAACTAAGACATTCCCCTATCGTGCCAACCAAAAATGCGCCAGAGGATTAGCCCTCAGAATTTCCCTTACAGTGGCTGAGCCGTTGTAAATGGAAGCATTGGGCTTTACATTTGAATTCTCAAGTTACCAATACGAACCGTGGCTAGAAAATTAGAAAATATAACCCTTCTCCTAAAGGGAGTCGAATCAAAACATCAGCCCCTTCTTCATACAGCACCCACACGATCCCAGGCAAAACAAAACAAAATACAAGCAAGTTTCATCAAAACGTGAACGATTAAAACATTCACTCCAGCAGCAGCACAAGTCTGACCATTACAATGAGGGCATCTTTCATATAAACAATGCCTGGTCTCCAGAAAAAAAAAAAAGAAAGAAAGAAAGAAAGACAGACAGAAAAAAGTGGGTGGGGGCAGTCAGCCATCTTGCTGAAGAGCTTGAGTTAGAATCAAAAAGAGGTTCACATCAGGTCTCTGAGAGCCACATACCTTCCGTCTACCTTGGAGGAAGAAAGAGAGAGAGACCTGTGTGGGACTGAGAATCTACAGAAATTCTCAGGCTGCTGGAGTCCTCAGTAACTTATTGGTTGCTGTGCTGAGGACAGAAACCAGCACTGGCTGTGGCCGAAAGGCAATTAAACATTTCTCCAGAAAGACAAAGCTGCCAAATTAGAGCACGTCACACTTAAATAAGAGGCTGGAGAACTTTTACCTGGAACAGAGCCGCCCTGTGATGGCCACTCACTTCTCTCCCAGTGCAAGAGCAGACCTGGCCATCAGGAAGAATCCAGGACTCAGTACTGGGTCACAGCTCTGGCCAGCAGACATCAGCACCCACCTGACATATACGAACAGGCTGCCAGGACACTGCTGAGCAAAGCCATCTCCAGGGGCTCCGCGGCCACGGGCTCCGTGCTGGGGCTGAGGGGCAGCCTCATATGGCATCGGGAGGAGAGCTGGACACTTCCGAATGAGCGTGGGCCCCTCCCTCTCTTCTCCTGTTTGGAAACATAGAGTGAGCTATGAAGCATAGCCTGCTTTCCTGGGGTTGTGGTGTTTCCAGCAGCCTGTGCTCAGTCACAAAGAGCCAGGGTCCCAAAGGAAGCCACCTCTCCCTGGGTTCTGTCCTTTGATCAGGCCAGGCGCCTGGTTTTCAGGAGGCAGTAACACCGTGGCTTCTCTCAGCCCCATTGGCAGCCCTCCGTCAGGGCAGCCCTCATATGCTTCACTGGCTCCTTCCTGATTCCTCCGTGGGCGAGAAATGGTCCATTAGAGCCACATCATCACCTCGGGGACTGTTCTTTTCCGGAAGCCGCATCATCGATGACACAGGTGTACTTTGATCAGGTACCTCCTCCCTTGGGTCAAAATATGCCACCCTCGGCGATGGATCAGCAATGTCCGTCCCACAGCTGCCGCCCCGTGCCCAGTTCTAAAATACCCATCAGGACTTGGGAGCTCAGTCTGCTCCTGGATCCCAGCTCCACGGCTCCAGGGTAATGATGTGTCAGGGATTAGGGCAAGAATGGAGTCCAGAAGTAGAGAGAGAGAGGTTAAAAACAGCAACAACAAGAAAACAGGGTAGCGGGCAGGGGATGCGCAGTAAGGTTGCTCAGGCAGCGGTGGGCAAGCAGCCCTGAAAAGGTACCCAGTGTTTTTAACACTTTTTTTTTTTTTTAAAGCGCAGAATGTCAGAATGAAGAGTGTGGGCTAAGGGGCTCTGAAAGGAGGCTGTCTTCCAGGGTGGGGAGTGGGGGAGGCAGGGACACACGGACTGGACTCCCCTCCCCCCCCCCAGCCTCTGAGCCACAGCAGGGCATGTCCTTCAGGAGTCATCAGCATTCCTGAAAGGGGACACTGAGGGACACAGACACACAGTGGGTGGCCAGGCTACTGGCCTGCTCCTCACTTCTGGGCTCAGTCTATTTAAGGACCCCGGGGTCTGTACTGATCCTTTCTTGCACAAATAAAGCCTGTGGGGGGGGGGGGTCAGAGAATGGAGCTCGCCATTAGGTCGGGGCGTCTGTACAGACAGACAGGAAGTGACGTAGCCGGGCAGAAACAGGACATAAGCAGGGACAAACAGGAAATGGCTCCCTTCTCTATGGAGACACTTTAGCAGACACCATGGGAGACCGCAAAGTGGTAAGAGGTCCAGACACTTCTCCGGTAAGATAAGACCACGTGGAAAAACTTAGATTAATAGAAATGGGTTAATAATTAAGACCGAGATAGCCAATAAGAAGCCCAAGTCACCCGCCAACAGTTTCATAATTAATACAGCATCTGTATGTTTATTTGGGACTGAAGTGGCTGTGGGACTAGGCTGGGGGGACAGGGAGCGTGTAACAAGGATCCAGGAGGAGAAAGAAGCCTCTAGACTGTCAAGTTCAGACCCATCCCCTCCCCCCCCCCCCCCCCGTCCTCCCCAATGCTCCACGATGCAGGACATGCCACTCACTGCCAGTGTTGCAACAGTGTCCCATATTCTCCTTCCTGAATCATCCCCGCTCACAACACAGATGTGATCATAGGGCTGCAGCCTAGGCCCATAGCCGCTCTCCATTCACTTTAATAGCAGGGACCTCTGTGACTCCGACCTCGGTTCCTACCGCCTCATCTGCAGGCCACACCCACAGAGTGACAACAGCTCGAATGTTCCCACAATGCCACACTGTCTTTAATTGCCAGAGGCACCAAGCTCCTCCATCTTTCCACGCATTTGACTGCAATCTTCATTCGCACCTACTGCTCTTACAGAGGACTTGGGTTTGTTCCCCAGCACCTACGTTGGGCAACTCACAAGCACCTGCAGCTCTGGCTTCAAGGAATCTACCACCCTTATCTGGCTGGCTTCCTCGGGTGCCGACACTCACACACAAATACCCCCACATACATAGATGCCATTAAAGTAAAAAAAGAAAAGAAAAAAACTTACAAAAACCATAGTGATCTCTCCAGTTGGTCCAGGGACTGCTTAACGAAGATGCCTGGCCTGCATCTCACTGCCAGGAGTGTCATCTGAGAGTCAGCAGCATCAACATTGATTGGCAGCTTATTATTAGGGCTGCAGAGTCTCGGGCACCACCCCAGACCTAAGAAATCCAAATCCCAGTTTCTAAGACACCCAGCTGATGAGTTTGAGAAGTGCTGCATCTTGTTCGCTCTTGGGGGAAGCACACTTTGAAGCAACACATGAGCATAGAGACACAGGGCAGAGACACAGGGCAGGAGAGACACAGGGCAGAAGAGACACAGGGCAGAAGAGACACAGGACAGAGACACAGGGCAGGAGAGACACAGGGCAGAGACATAAGACAGGAGAGACACAGGGCAGGAAAGACACAGGACAGAGACACAGGACAGGAGAGACACAGGACAGAGACACAGGGCAGGAGAGACACAGGGCAGGAGAGACACAGGGCAGAGACACAGGGCAGGAGAGACAGGACAGAGACACAGGGCAGGAGAGACACAGGGCAGGAGAGACACAGGGCAGGAGAGACACAGGGCAGAAGAGATACAGGACAGGAGAGACACAGGGCAGAAGAGACACAGGGCAGAAGAGACACAGGGCAGGCGAGACAGGACAGAGACACAGGGCAGAGACACAGGACAGAATAGACACAGGACAGAGACAGAGGGCAGAAGAGACACAGGGGAGAGACACAGGGCAGGAGAGACACAGGGAAGGAGAGACACAGGGCAGGAGAGACACAGGGCAGGAGAGACACAGGGCAGGAGAGACACAGGGCAGGAGAGACACAGGGCAGGAGAGACACAGGGCAGGAGAGACACAGGGCAGAGACACAGGGCAGGAGAGACACAGGGCAGAAGAGACACAGGACAGGAGAGACACAGAGCAGAAGAGACACAGGGCAGAAGAGACACAGGGCAGGCGAGACAGGACAGAGACACAGGGCAGAGACACAGGACAGAATAGACACAGGACAGAGACACAGGACAGAGACAGAGGGCAGAAGAGACACAGGGGAGAGACACAGGGCAGGAGAGACACAGGGCAGGAGAGACACGGGGCAGGAGAGACACAGGGCAGGAGAGACACAGGGCAGAGACACAGGGCAGGAGAGACACAGGATAGGAGAGATAGGGCAGGAGAGACACAGGGCAGGAGAGACACGGGGCAGGAGAGATAGGGGACAGATGCGTGCAGCCACGCCTGTGTGTGGGGTTATGCCACGCCCCTCTGGGAAACCCTCTGTCCCTGCTTAGCTCTGAGAGGACTGCTAGCATACACTTGACAGCATTTAGCATCGTTTCTGGTTGTCATAGCTACAATGCGAGATGACACTGGTATCCAGGGTTGAGGTTTGAGATGCTGCTAAACCTTCCCCATATACAGGACAGCCTTCTGCCACAAAGAGCAATCTGGTCCAAAAGTGTTCACAGGGTTCTAGAATGACCAAGAATTGGTACTTCGGAGTCCAGCCTAAGTCAACCTTGGGCTTAGGGATCCCGTGTGCTTTGTTCAAGACAGGAAGCTGTCACAGAGAAGTTGCCATGGCCTTGCCTACAGGGGCACTGCTCCAAAGTCTGGTCCAACAATGCAGGGTTCCAGTGACTGGAAGGGACCAGGTTCCAGGAGAATGAGTTACAACAGCAAAATCCTCCAAAGATACCACAGTAGTTTATTAATCTGTAAGCAGAGAGCCCCTGGACTGGAATGGCCCATCCTACATGGAAACCTCCATAGAAGTATTTTCTTGGTTCACAGGGTACAAGGTCCATGTCAAGACTGGGATTCAGTCCTCTAGATACACTGATGTCAGGAATGACTGGAGTAATGTTGGGAAAGGAAGAATTACAAGGGAGCTGGACATTTTCTCCAAACGATAACCCATTGGGTTAAATATACATCACTTCCAGGGATCACCCTGTCCACACTCAGCAAGCAGTCCAGCATCTACCTGTCCGTGTGTGAATAAAAGAAGGTATGCACACACCAGGGTACAGCAGCATGCACCCAGGAGCACATGTGGAAACCAGAAGTGGTCAGATGTCCTGCTGTATCACTCCACCTCGTTTCTTGAGTCAGGGCCCCACCGAATCTGGTGCTAGGCTATCAGCCAGCCATGTTTGTCTACGGCATCCACAGCCCTGGGGTTACAGGCTTTTTAAACCGGTGCTGGGGATTCAGGGCTTTCATACTGGTACACCAAGTGCCCTTACCCACTGAGCCAACTTCCCAGGCCCCCAATTAACTCTGTAAAGGCTTTCTTTCACACATTGGCCCACGGCTTCTTCTAACTAGAGACCAACTACAAACTAATGGGAAGTAACAACCTCCTTCTACCACGCCCACTCCAATGCCTCGGCTCCCTCACCACACACTAAGGGAGACATCGACACGTCCTGTCTTGAATGGTTAACTGGATACACGGTGTGCTGTTTTTACCACCCCCCACCTTACAAAAACATCATCCCCACAGTTCCAAGCGTGCATTCTCTGCAGCCCCGAGTCCATCCCCGTACACGGAGTGTAATCACAGAGATGAAATGCACCTTCTGGGAGTACCTCACTCCTTATCCTCAACACAGTGTGCCTCCCCTGGGAAGGTAACACTCCACCCCCAGGCAGGTAACACTCGGGGATGGGTAGTTATTGTTTTAGGTAGCTGAAGAGTGAAGAGCGGTGGGCTGCCAGGAACAGAGAAATATCTGGTAAGAACTGGCCATCCTCAGTGAGGTTGGTCACAGCCAGTCAGAGTTATAAAACTGCTTGGCCTCAGTTGACTTCTAAGATGTTGCAGGGAAAAAAAGAAAGGATGATCACACAACACACACACACACACACACACACACACACACACACGTTTGGGAGATTACCATGTACCTTAGACCTGATGCCATCATGAGTCCAACAGAAAGGTCTTGGTGGTTGTATCTGGATCCTTGGAGAACTGGGTAACATTCTCTCGGAGGAAAAAGTCCCTGAGTACAGTATTTTATGTGCAGGAGTGCTTGCCTGGATTTGC